AATGTTGATATAATGTGACAATAATCATGAAATGTCCAAATAATTGTGAGATAATAATGAAATAAGCAAATAAGTGAAATAATGGCAAAACAAACAACAAAAGTGAAATAATGTGTCAATAATAACGAAATAATGAAATAATGGAGAAATAATGATCGAATAATGGGGAATAACAGCGAAATATGACAATAATGTAACAATAAAGTTCAAATAAGTATTCTATATTATTATACAAGTAATTTCAAAACAAATAGACAATCACATGAAAATACAATAAAACAATAATGAAAAAAACAATTGAGACAATTTTGGCGGTAATCTCACCCCATAGAGAATCAGCGAACTTCTTGAATCCGGTCAGACTCCGGTGGCAGCCATGTTTATTTTTATTATTAGAGGACGCTTACGCGCGTAATCATTCGCATTTCCTTATATGGTAGGATGAAAATACCCGTAAAATACCACAAAATTACGGCGTTACTTATGGCGTTACGGTGACAGATGTATAATATAGTGTATTATATATAAATAAGATGTGACTGTTAACATTCTACACATATAATTATTATGCTTCAATATTTGTATCGTGACATATTTGTAAATTAACCATATAAGATGTCAACTGTATTTGTAATTAATCGAGGCATATACTGTATATAGATTATATATAAATGAGTTTGTTCCATTTATTATAAAGATAGTAATGTATACATATAAATGACAAAGTTTATTCGTAAACATATAAATTGCACATGTTTTTAAAATCAAGGATTAATCATCGATTAATATATACATGAAATTAGTCATTTTCGAAAGTTATATGACATTTTCATCAACGATTATAAACCAGGACAAATAAACAAGAAAGTAACAATTTTTTGATAAATCATGAATTGGGTATAATTATTTTGTTCATGATTCAATGATTTTAAAAATTGACTGAAAAATCGGTAAGTTATGTCTATTTTAAAACATCTTTCGCCAGATTAACAAGCGTTTTTTTAGATTGACGTCCTTTATAGTTTCTTCCTAGTCTGCTTTTGGTGTCACTACATCGACGATGATTTTTTCTTCGGATGCTCCCTGAGATCTATCATTGCTTCGGTCGGTACGTTGGTCATAGTGTTATTTACTTCATTCATTGCGCGAACGACATGTGACACAATTTCGATAACATGGGATGCAGCTGCAGTCGTATAGGCGATCATTGCGAAACTTGCCAAGGAAACTTTGCGGCCTTAGTGATTTGTTTATTATACACATAATGCGTTAACTACTTTGGAGTGAATAATGCGTTTTAAGTTTTATTGGATTTGTCAACACGTAATCACTTTAATTTCAAATATATGCTGTGTTTTAATGATTTAGTGAACAATTATTTAGATATAATGTGAGCACCGCAGGAATTCAATGTTCACATATGTGTATATAACTTAAGGTCACGACGAGCACTTTTCAATATATATAGAAATGCATTGTGATGGTTTGTATAACGATGAACTCATTTATTTGTCTGGGATATACTGTAATTGCATATAATTCACAATACCCCATTGATACACGATTATATGTATATCATTTCCGGTAGAAAGGCCTATCAGATCTCAAAACATTACTCTCTCTATTGAAAGACTGAAATACGGGTCATTCTTATTAAGCCTTGGTCAGCATGGGGCTCTTTGATACACCGTATCACATAACAAACAGACAAAATTACATATCATCAATTTTAAATTATTTAATATACTAAGAGTTTAGCAATGAATTCTAATATATAACAGATCTTACCAAAATTCCTGAAATCTCGTCAGGCACGATCTGGAACCATTTTGACCATACAGCGATGAACAAAAATGAGAAATCAAGTCGTATTTTTAAACCCAAGAACAGTAAATCCACAATTGTTTGCACACAGTTGCACAAAACCACATAGAGGCCGTCCCGCCTAAAGTATAAGTGTGAGTCACGCAGTAAGTGGACTATTTGATGGTGCAAAATACATCAGACAGATGTCAATAGATTTCATTTGACCTTGACTATATAGAGAGCCAAAACCACAATAAGGAAATCTTATTATTCAGAGAAAGATACATGTATCACCGCAACGCTTCAGGTTCAAGTGACTTTGGATCAGAAACAGATTTCGTTTTTGGCCTAAATGAAACCAAAAATCATGACAAAGGAAATGTGATAGTAATAGTAGATGGAGCGATTTGTTTATATAGTGCAAACAATATTAATTTGAACTTGATATCCATATTGCCTGGGAATGTCTGACCTAGTTGTTTGATATATACAGCGCCATCAGTCGTCGATAATTGCAGCTTCGTTTGCTACCTATCTGGCCATGTCTGTGAATCGTTGGGAGTATTTTTAAATGACAATATCTATGAGGTCGTACAACTGAAATATATTTTTTTCGGAATGCAACACAGTATGAATAAAATCCCGAAGTTAGTTCAAATAGATTTCGTATGATAAGTGACATATTGTCATTTATCCAGCGGCCAAAACACAGAAGAGGCTTACTTAAAGCGGTGGAGTTGTCTCCTGTGCATGCGCCGGAAGGCCATAGCGTGTCATTGTTTACAAACAAGCGTATACCAATTTTTAGCGTGTGTTGTTATCGTCGCTTGAGGCTCAATTCCCGTGCATGCGCAGTTGGCGACCCTCCAGCTTTAAGTTTTTCCCACCTCCTGCGAGAAAAGATACGCCACATTTAATAGTTGGATGCGGTATTTGAAGTTCTAAAAATGCATGATGTAGAGATGAGTTGATGGTAGGTCAATCTCACGTCATGAGCTTATAAAGTCCAAAGAAAATACTCAATTGTCTTAATTTGTTGATATTCAGGTCGAAAAGATTAACCAACTTCAAAAATATCATATAATATAAAAAAAATGTATTTATATGTGGAATTTAAATTTGAAACAAAACCATTGATCAAAGCAAACGTCTGTTGGATATCTTTTCTTTGTTATGAAATTTGGTCACTACTTGTTTCAACGAATTACTAGAAAAGAAAATGCATGTAATTCATTCACACTGTACTCAACATCGACATATTCATCAAAATAAAGATAATTTTATACAGAAATCTATTCTGGACACATACTATGAAACTAAGATCTCGGCTAAAATTAATACTCTGTTTCTAGAACACATTTCTGAATAATATTACCTTCATGTTGATGTGTAACACAGATCAAAACAATATGGCGTCTCTTCACGTCACTGTAACTCTTCGTCCATGTGGAACCACTAAAAACGTGTCGAAAGACTGATAAAGTTTTGAACCGTCTCTCACTACCGTTGTGAATTAAAGACACATCCTGTATGACTACACCCATCACGTTGTAACTTAACCGGATGTTAATTAACATTCACCCAGAAATGCATAGGAGTGAAATTGATATATAAACATAGCAATTATAATAAACGTTCACATTGATCAGTATTAAATCAATCGTACTAACGTTATTGTGCGGGGACAATTACACTGCTTAGTCACGACCACTGCGATAAAGACTAGAAGTTTATTGCATATAAAAGGTCATTGATATATCCCACGTACGCTAAATACAATTAAAGTTAAACGAGGACAATATAAAGCAACAGGCAATGTGGATAATTGTGAGTATATGTGAAAATACGAAAACGATTGTAATAATGTATACGATAGCTTATTCATTATTTCGTCGTGGGAATTCTGGTCGTTGCTGTCAACAAGAAATTCATTTGAATAAAAATTATGTTCTATTGTTTTAAAAGGATGCAATATCAAACCAAACAATTTTCAAAAATGCTAAAATATATAATTTCACCTACACCGCCTCATTAAAGATAACGGGACTCTAACATGGCCGCCAAATACTGAACGTAAATAGGGTGTATGTCTGATTATTAAAATACTTGCTAAGTTGATTATTGTAAGTGGAAACCTAATTTGCGTATGTTTAAATAATTAATAAGGCACACAAACATGTAAGATATAAAATACATTGAGATACATACATTGACTGTAATAATTACAACGATTCCGCTCTAAACCATTGATATGCAAATTAGTTTACGAAATTAAGAAATGTTTAAGGTGATTGTGATTTTTATTTTTTTTGTGATTTGAGAGAATATTCAACCTATTACTTCAGAGCTAGTATGTGATGCAGTACATGCAAATATGCTGAAGGTCTTCTATCGACACACGCAGAGAAAGGTCGTCAGTAACGCCTCTCTAATTATAAAATACTAATTCATTACAAACGCTAATTATAGACACAGTCTACGTGTACAGTTGTTGTGTGTGTTTGTAATTAATGCTCTTAATAAATTATTATGTTACAATTCGGGACTGGTAGACATGTGTGAATGTATTGCTTAAAATAAACCACTAACAATCCAGGTTCCGTCAAACATTGCACGAGTCTCATCGTTAATGTTCTCATCATGATGTAAACTACGATACCAGATCGATGTAGTTAAACACGAATACAATGGTGCGCTCCTCGGTGTATTGTACGCTGACATCGCATGTACGTGGGAAACTGTGAGCTTGATTAAATCAATAGAAATAACACACTACAATAGTCGTTTCTGACTTAAACTGAGCCTGTAGTAAAGATATTAGGATGGATTGCCTATGAATGCGATACGAGTCCTTTGTACCACGTCTGTTGCAGTCGCTCTATAGACAATAACGGTAACTCGTTCTTCGATTTTATTCAATAGAAGTTAAAATGACAAGTGATGTGTACCTTGACTCCTGAGTAAATACACGAATGCGTCCTGTTTTGCCAGCCTACAGTGCGGCAACGTAACAATATTGTTCGATGAACAAATACTATCTCGGCGTTTAGCGGCGAGTGATGGATGGATATTGAAGAGGGCATTCCGATCAAGAAGTGACTTCAAGTACTTGAACTCACGATCGGTCTTGACAAACTGTTTAAATAACTACACAAGACTACATTCCGTTACTAGCTTGGTGACGTTATAATGTATTATTCAACATATATCCCATAAACTGTTGCTGCGCAGAATATCGAACCATTTTTAAAAGAACCCGACGCGAAGTTGTCTGTTTTCTCGTCCCATACGCACCTGCTTCCCAATTTCAAACCTTGGTCCTGGCACGACCCGACGATCACATGTGCGACTATTTTATGGCGAGGGATGTGTAATTTCTTCACTCTGGTTTTTATGACGTCAGACAGGTTTCGTGCCAGTTGTGCCGCTTTTTTGGGGTCATATTTCTCCCCCTCTAGCCTGGTGCACAGTATGTCCTCGATGGTCTGGCGAACTAAATGAGATCGGAACTCGCTGCCTGGATCTGGTTTCATTTTGTAGGTATTCTCATACTTTTTCTGTGCGGGCGCGGCTTTTTCTTTTGCTATCATCTTATGCAGTGTGTTCCACATGGACGTCTTCTTGCCAAACAAACTTATCGACGGTCTTGCGGGTTTATCACTTTTCTCACCGGTTGCACCTGTCGCAGTGGACTCACTGCTGGGCTTCGGGGCGGCGGGCGCCGGTGATTTGTCCCTTTGCAGTCCATCATTCTGTTGACTGCTCGCAGCAGCAGCTTTTAGAGCGGCCAACATATTGTCCCTCTTAACAACAGCGTGGATGACGAATCACCTTCCGTAATGCCACGAGAAATAATTGCCCAAAGTCAGTCACTTAAAATCGATTGAGTCAACCAGAGGAGACAGGGAATCAAATTTCTCGGTATGATGGCAACGTCGTCAAGAGCTAACTCTTTTTGCTGTACATCGACCTATCAACAAGTGAGTTCTGTTATCACACCGCCACTCGTTGCCAGCGGACCGTCAGTCGATTCTATAATCTATATTGAAACAAATAAGATCAGTATTATAATGCAAATCGATTGTTAAAAAAATATCAATACAAGAAAGTGTCGTGGATTTCTACCAACAAAGCCCCGCATATTCCCTTTTCTGTCATATGTCAACACTCACGCTGTCCAAATCAACACAACGTAACTAGGGCGAGGGTCATATGCAATATGAAACGACGGTGTCTGCTGAATATGCGCGCTTATACCCGTGACGAAACAGGGTATTAAAAACATCTAAATTATTAACGTCTCGTTAAAAAAGCAAATTTACATAGTACATCACTTTAGTAATTTTCCAGGCAACTTAACCACAGTTATCACCTGTTGGCTTGGAAGCTGCACAGCGTGCGGGATTCCGCTAACTCAGAATTATCCAGCTTTCGTAGAAATTCGACATCGTAAGTTAGAAAGTGAAGCAGTGATGACACAGGCACCGTTGTCAACAAACTATCCCGCTTTGGATTGTGGGTACTCACTTAAAATCATACAAGTGTTCGTTGTTTGTGAATCACGTGATACATTATTTCACCTGTTCTCTGCACGATGCTATTGTTTGAACTGGTGGACTATTTTCGCTGTGAATTTTCTCCAATTTCTGTAGAAGGTGTATATGTATATGGTGTTCGATATGGGACTCATAGCGACTTGTACAACGCGTATAAAATACATTGTTTATTGACATGAAATTCGAACACGCGCTGCGCGACGACCACCGCCCTTTAATATCACCAGCAAATATTGAAAAGTATGTCGCCATCCATATATACATATATTTAAACTTTTTAATTTAAATAGGGTCTTTGAAATAAGATGTTATGATATTCATAATACCCACAATGCATTTCACATATGCTTAGTATCACACGGCAGTAGTACAATATTACAATGAACATAGAATTTGAACTTATATTATATATATTAGATTGAGTGATCCCAACTACGGAATGTTTTTCAATCGATAACGTCGTGGCCATATACTTGATAATTATTATATGATGTCATCGACCCCCCCCCCCTCAACTGAGGTGACCATATATATATTGTCAATTGCATGTAGTATTCGGAGAAATAACTGCTACATTCCACGCAAGAATGAACCATTGAATATCAGTTGCCATGGGAACGCATTGTGTTATTTAAAATCAATAAAAGTAAATGAGATCGTGGTAATAATTTATGACACTCTTTACAATAGTTTATGTCATTATGCATCGTCTATGTTTCCTATAGAAAGGTGTAAACATGAGGGATTATCATGATAGTATTTGAGAAAACTAATGGCTGTATGTTTAGAACCATCAATGACATGTATGTCTTTTCATACAAACGATATCGACTCGATGGGAAACTTGAAATGCTATTAGGTGTTATTTACATTGAGTGTTTGGCGTCTCCGTTGTAAGTACAGACGGGGGGGGGGGGTGTACACAATTGTTTTTTTTTTCAATTACGAGTAGTAGCGACAGCATGTCACGACTTGAATACATAATTAGTCAATTACCGCTATATGAATTACTAAAATATGTAAATACCATGGTGATACATTATATGAATATTTGTTTGAAGTTGAACTTTCCACGCCCCATGTGACATTTTTGCAGACTTTTCTCCGTGGCGTTGAATACATTGACTAATGCAAATATTGTGCTATTAGCCAGACAGTATAGTAAACACAGTAACCCAAACCCTTATATACCGTTTTACGAGTACTGAATGTACATTAGCCCCGGGGTTAGTAATTTACTACGGGTTTAAAAAAGACTGACAGTTGTAATGTATACGCGCGGCGGACGTGTTTGAGGGGGGGGTGTCATTGGCTGTCAACGTCACACAGCGTGCATGTAGTCTTTACGCACCTTCGTGACAAATTGCGATTGTTATATTTACCGATGTAGAATTTCTACTCACGGTTTGGAGTTACTTTCTAAGATCTACAATTTCAGCGAATACTGACTCTTCGCCAATCTAACACGAATTCTGGCAGTTGTGTGAAATTTCCGATTAGCATAATCAGATTTAGAACTTGAAATCAACAATATCGCGAAAAAGAAGAATTTGAACTTCAATCATCCAAACTCGCAAGAAACGTACTATGGTCCAAGATGCAGGGCACCATAATTATTTACATCCCTGGCAATACATTTCATTGTCAATTAATGTTTTATTCGAGCCATGCCTGCAAGCAGGTTTTTGGTTTATCGATTTTGGTTTATCGACAAATTATATACGGTGCCTAAAAACTGTATGTATTTGTTCATGTCTAAAGATATGACAAAACTGGAATTATTTTAATGACGAAACGTGGTCTGGAGATCACTGATAAATTGTGATTATTTGACAGTTTTTCTCAAAAAAAGATTGACAGTAAATTTAAAAAAAATCCACATATCGATTATTACTAAAATGGTTAGCCATGAACTGATATTGACACAAAATATTGTCACAGCTATAATATATAAATAAATATTAACACAGACCACGATTAGGTTACAGTGAGACGTATACGTACATAATTCAGCCTGGTCATGGAACTGGAGTACTTCGTCAGACATATGTAAGCATGCAGCCATGCAAGCGATTCAAAACTGTCATCCCCCACATTGCATTACAATAGCGGACCTCATATTCGAGTTTCGTGAATTGGTTCGAAAGAATTGTCGTATGAGGGCGCCCGGATCATGATAGTCAATACGTTATTATAACTGCGGAAAGATGTTTATGCACAGTGGCCTGTAACATAAAATTAAATACGACTTTTAACCAAATATCGACAAATTGTCGGCCCGCTGTTATAAGGAATGGTACCAAACGACCGTGGATCACGAACGCATACGTGATAAAAAGAAAGATGACAGAGAAACAAGATTCAACTAAATTACTATCGTTTCTGTCATTCTTTGAACGATAGTGTTTATATCAATGTTGCTACACTACAGTAAGTTAATATCAACACTGCTAGTAATCTTCACATAAGTATTTGGGTGGCATAGGGCGCTAGGTGATCTCAAAGACATACACTAAACAATTTCGTAAATGACTATTCCCTCAATAGGATTTGCTATGTCTGTTGTCAGTCGTACGCCCTTCTTCCAATAACATCTTGCATTTGTCCCCATTTGACTGCATGGTAGTCGACTTGAGTGATGGATGTCAGCATACACAATTGAAACAACTATAGAAATGGCTTGCTCTACCATCACATGGTTCAATCTGGATCAACAGGTGGGTGCACCGCTGCAGGAATGACATGCATATATACACAATTTTGTTTTCTTATACTTTTATCAACACCTAATTTATAAGTTCATTAACCCAATCGGTTTTGCCTAAATCTAGAAGCCTTATACTGAAATGAATAAAACAAATTTGACATTGCCCAAATTTCAACAATCTCAATCTACTTTAGTTTAGATTGCCATTGGCCTTACTAGTACTCTTTTACAAATCAGCTACATGTAACAGTCATTTTTGGCGACTTTGACCTTTCATGAATTGTCATTATCTTTAAGGCTTTTCTATCATAATACCCACACCCCATGTAAATACATCATCCTGATAGCTTCACAAAATGGTTAATTTTCATGTAGTTCTACACGAGTTGACCCTTGCACTCTCAATTCTTCTATGTGACTACTTGTATGTACTTAGCCCACTTTATGCTCTATTACAGAGACGGAATGTTTGAAGATTCAATTGCATAGATCGACAAGTGTGTTCATGCATGGAGCATGGCTCAACAGGCCAATGTGATTAAAATTTGATACACTAAGGCTTCAGTTATTAAGGTAGTTGGCTACCATAATTAAAAGTTATCACCAGACTTCTTTGAAATGTACCATGTGGCTTTATTATATGCTGTTGCTTATAAAATTCAGACCCACACGTATTGTCATGAAATACTTTTGGAACAAAAAATAACAATCATAGATATTTGTAAACCATTTAGTCTGTTTCTATGGTAAATAGATTTTGTCATATCTTAAAATTTCTTTCTGGGACACATGATAAAAAACAGTTATGGTCGTCTCTGAAGTACCGGTACTATTTATATTTCATGAAAAAATTGCATTAACAAAACTTCCTATTGAAATGGCTCAAAAAAGCCTATTACTGCTTTCCTTCAAAAAAATATTACATTTTGGGTTAAAAAGAGCCCAAAAAGTAGTTGACTTGTCAAAATCAACATTGATGCAAAACTTTTGAAACAGAAAAATGTGGTAATTTTTTCCCCTCTTATTTAATAGACTGAATGCATGCAAGTCCATGGTGTCCACCACCTCACAGTATATCTGCAAATTACTTTTAGGTTGTGTAGGATCAGTAACCAATCAGAACTTGTGTTACAGGTTGTTCTCTAGTAAAGTGTGCTCTAATTGGAGCTGTATGGACACATTTTGCATATTTTTTTGTAAAGTGAAAATTTGCATTCATCTTAGTATAGGAGATTAGAGTACATACAACTACAAGTTTTATATTAACCACACTGCAACAGTTGTCAGTTAAAATATTTATTCATAACATGTTTTACATACATTCTATCTAATCTATTACGCAAATGATATTTTGATAGCTCCATTTTATGTAAAAGAATATGTGAAGTCAAAATTTACAACAAGCTGTTTGAAATATCCAGAGAACAAATCGAAATACCTATATATCAGTATTTCTATTTACGTCACAAAAGCTCATAACAGTTTTTTTTACTAAAAAAATAAAATAGAAGCCTGCATTTATGGACGTAACAGCAAGAACAAATACAGAAAATTAACGCTATGAATATCCACCAGTGGTTTCTCTCAAAAATTGTTCATAGTCAGCACAGGCTTCTTCATCTAATACAATTGCATTTTCATAGTACTCATCATCTTCACTGCAAAAACAAGAAAAGAATCATAGAAAACTTCACCCAGTTTCTTGATTGTGATTTAGTTTTCAGCATCTTAGGGTGTCATCAAGTCAGGACTTTCTGTTCGGCGATTAAAAATGGAGTATATTACCAAAATAATATTTGATGAAATTTTTTAATTAAGATCAATTTTGAATGCACACCACTTGAGCTGTTTCTGAATGTTTTATTCATAATACTGCAGTATCAGAGGAACATTGTACATCAAACATTACTTACTTCCTAGTTTAGCATTCTTTGAACAGCAATGCATGACTGATTTATTGAAGTGGTGATGATAAATAACTTGGGTGATAAACAGTGCAAAGCGTCTAGTTGTGATCAGTATAACTATTAGTATAATTACTTTCAGATTTGATTTTTGGCCAAATTACTTAAAATTACTAAGTTTAGCCGGAGTACCAATTATGAACCAATCTTTATTGAAATACATTGAGAAATTATTCAAATATACCCAGAAACATTAAAAACTAGCTAATAATTACTAGTTAGATAATTAGTTCAAACAGATTTCTGCCAAAAGCTAATCAGGTCTCTCTTAAACAAGCTAAAAGTGAAATAATTATTATGAAAATTAGGTAATTAATGCACATGTATTTGACCCCAAACTAATTAGGTCTACGTATTATTCCAAAGCATCAGTGTAAACAGTTTCTGTTGAGTGGTTCATGTGATATTAGTAAAACACACATGTAGAGTGAACCCAAAGATTACATTTGAAAAGTTTATGAACAACCAATCCACAACAAATGATACTTTTTTGGGGCCAGCAGTGTTTTCAGTTATACAAAAAGATTTATAAATCAATAGAGGAAAATGGGTGTAAACCATAGGAATTGTTAAATCAAGTAAACATCATGATCATACCACACCCCTATTTTCAGAAAACATTACATCACAATTGTATGGCCATAATATGTTATTCTATGACCAAAAAATTAATTCTGATCCGTGTTCAAATGAAATATCAATTATACATGTTTGAAAATCACCATAAATAGAGTGAAATACTCACTTGGACCATTGTTGATAATCAACTTCATAATCATTACCATAGTACTCTTCATCATACTCATCATAATTATAGAAACCTGAAACACATAAGAAATGATATGAAGTTTGAATAATTTACAAATACAAATGCTATGAATATTTAAAGTTGCATTCTGAAAGCACAGCTTTACTGGGAATATTAAGGGATGATGGTCTGAATATATATACAGAATGATATCATACCTGCTTCTTGGGCAGAGATTTGTCTGCCATCTGGAGCAAAAAATATTGGTTCATTCTGGAAAAGAAGATGAGTTGTATGCATAAAGCATTGCGAATAAGATAAAATATCTCAGATGCAGATAAACATATGCACAACAATATTTTGGAAGTGATCATTTTTTAGATTACATGCAATTAACGCTATTCTAATACAGCATGTATACACATGTATAGTTAACTCAATGAGAGAAAGTTCACATAATAAATACAAAACTGTATTCTTGTTTAAAAAGATAGAGGTGTCACCTGCGCATGCGCAGGAATTGAGTCCCAAGCGATGATAGTGGCACACACTGAGAACGAAAAGGCTCAAGGTTAGACACTGACACACTATGGCCACCTGATGCATGTTTAGGTGAGGACTCCCCGGCTTTAATAATCTGAGCACTACACAAGTTTTAAATATCATACAGTAAATCCTGTTTTACAAACAACAAAGAATTCCCTTTACCTAGATAATTTTAGTGAGATTGCTTCATAATAAAGTAGTACTAGCATATAGAACTGGAAAAAGTTTTCATTGGGTTTGAATTCAATTTCAATTAATAAGCCGATGTGAAAACATCCTATGAGGTAAAGTAAAACACAGAACAACAATTCCTCTATCTATATTCTTACACTGAATTCTTGAGCTGGCGCAGAAGCTGCCTGAGCAGGTGGCTCTGCTTTTGGTGTTTCTTCGTCTCTATTCCATCCAACTGCTCTTAACAACAACAGTTTCATTAACATCTCTCTGATTGAGCTATTAAAAATAAATCATTAATATATGAAGCATGACATGACAGAGTTCGTTGTTCTTTCAATAAGAAACAAAACAGAAATGAGTCAGCTATTTTGAATCAGAACATGAAACAAATGTATAACTGAGACCTGGGTCTAGAATGGCGCAAACGCTTGATTTTGATGAAATTTTCATATTAAAATGGCCGCCATTTGGCCATTTTGAATCTGATGATCAAACAGATACATGTGCATATATGCAACAAGATATATAATGTATATATAAAAACCACATTTATTAGATTAAAAAAAAAAAAAAATGCCACCAGTTATACGTCCATAATATGTCTCATGTATGTAACAAGTTTGAACTCTATCCATACATGACCAAGATCTGGTTCCAGAATGGCGGAAATGATTTTGTTGAATTTTTAACTTTAAAATGGCACCATTTGACCATCTTGAATTAGATTATGAAACAAATGGACATGTATATGTATATCATATCCAAAGATATATGTGTGTGTATGAACTTGTATTCGACTAAGGCATGTCCATGACACAGGTTTATCGGGAACAAACACAGATCAATTCATAATTCCTTGTTTTCGGATTGCGTTCAAACAGGGGATAAATATATACAATAATGTATATCTGTATGCGTTACTAATAAAGATAATACAGTACAGACAGTACAGTACATTTCATAAATAAGACTTATGTACAGAGAAAATAACTTTATGAACCTATATATTTTTCTGAAATTAAGAAACCATTCATTGTTTTTGAGGCCTCCTGGCCATTGTCTGCAAAAGTGACATAATATAAATTTGATTCATCACAGTTTAATGGCAAAGGGTTAGTGGAAGACCAGAAACAAATTTGTGGGAAATGGACAGTAAATTCTAGAATCAGCAGACTCAAGCTCAAAAAGAACTCTTGTGTCCCGAGGGTATTGAAGGCATGAAGTACACATAAGGAATACTGTATTTACTATATTTATAACACACATCTCCAATACACACAAACAAAAATTGTCGCATTTTGACCATGGACTTGCCTTTATCATTTACAAATACTGCATTTAAAAATATAACTGTAAGCAGGGATTAGGATAGTTCCAAGTAGCTATGGTATAACAATTATAAATATTTAGAGAAAATATAACCATATATGACGACTTTATAATTCACTCGTATATCTTGTCTGACAACAAAATAATACATGTATCACTAGTTGCATTTCCCTATCTGCAAAAGTACTTAAGATATTTAAGTTATGCATATTATTGAGATTACATGGCCATATATACAATGTACCAGTATATATATAGTCATCTAATATGTTAGTCATATCCCTTGTCCAATTGATGCCTTCATTATAGCACTGGTTGCAGTTATGCATATTAATCAAGCCAAATGAACATTTTTAGCCATCTGATAAAATAGTCGTATTTCTTGTCTGATGCCTTCACTAAATGCACATCTCTGACTGCAAAAGTGCCTGAGATAATAAGTAAAGCATACTAACGAGGTCATGTGACCATATTCATACAAAGTAGGTAATTAACATTGATTTCAATCCTGATCTGTGGATTATCTAAAAGCATCTATGTACAAAGTTTCATTAAAATTTGTTGATTAGTACTCAAGATATTTTTGTAACACCTATAATATTGGTTAATTTAGGAAAATTAAGTAATTAGACAGCACAATATCAAACGGCAATGTACATGAAATGCACCACCCCGGCATCAACTAGGCCCTATCAAACACATAAAATGTTGTATTTTATTCAAAGCTGACCCAAAGTCACATTTGTAAGTGAATGAATCTTGCCAAGCGGATTTGGCCTTCCCATTGAATCTGAGGGACATTTGTAAGTAGAGTAGAGTAGAAAGCCAATCCCTATTTTTGGTATTCAACCCTGGTAAGATTTGATCTCAGGACCAATCACAGATCAGGTGTAACAGCAACTATGTTATCGGTGATCAGTTTATACTTACATGTTGATTTTGTCACTTGTCGAGAGCTCATTAACTTTCACAAATATTGCATCCATATATTTGGAAGAACCGGTTTTCTTTCTTTCACAGTGCTCTAGATTTGAACCAGTTAACTGGAATAAATTGTTATAGAAGAGCATTAAACTTTTCATATAGTCCTAGTAAAGTATCTCAATTTCTGCATGTGCAAAATACTGAATCATTGGAAAACATCTTTGAATTTGCATGAATTGTGAGCATATGAATGTTTCAAATTTGAATTTAAGTGTTCGAACACTGATTGTGTTCAAATTTGATTTACTAAATTAAATGCTAATGAACAGTTTTCAATGCTCATGGATTTACAAGTATTTGCTTCTGTTTTGATTGCAGCATTATAATTCCCCCTTTTTTTTCAAAAACCTATCAAATTCAGATAATTAATACTTATTTCACACAATAGTTCCAAGACCTTAATAAAGCTCTCAAAGTGTACAACTCTAAAATTGTTAATAGAACAAAATTATATTGATGTATATGGCCAGTGTAAGAGATGATGTTTGGAAATTATCAATAATTATTGTATAGCAGCTGCGAAAATTGAAATTTAACTTCGGACCAATCAACTTCATACAATGAACAGCATCAGGCATTGACCGATTCAAAATTGATTGTTGATTCTATCTTAGTTTGAAGAACTTGCTACCTTGGTCAACGAAACGTGAACTTACAGGCTGATGGCAAATGTGTAAAGTACCAAATTCCCTATGTGTAGATATGATATCATTTGGCAGCTATGACTTCAAGTATGTTTGCGAGAATGTGTGTTAACTTACCTTTAAAACATTTATGACGCATTTTATATTACCATCCTGCGGGTGACTGAGGAGTGTCAGACTCAAATCTCCCAATGCTTCTCTGAGTACATGGAGTCTTTCTGGCTGATCATTCACAATAATCTGTCAGAAAGTAAGTTTTATATAAGTAAGAATATCCAGACACAGTAAGCCTAAAGTAAACCAAATGCATATAAACTGTAGCATGTAAAAACTGTGTAAGATTTGTCAGTCACTGTATGATAAAAAATATACAGGATGTTTGTGTTGAGATGTATTCATGTAGATGTATGGCAACAAGTTATTCAATTAGTTAAAACAAAAATAGGAACATTTTCATGTGTCATATTGAGTCAGGTGACATCTTATGGCCTTGATTGTCACTGTTATTTTTAACTAACTTATTTTGGCCACTAGGGAAGCTAGAATTGTGCTCCTATGTGAAGTGATCCATCTACTTATTCATCCATTTATCCATCCATCCATCCATCAACACACGGTTCATGCACTAAACACAAGAGTTAAACATAGTTTTATAATAATATTATTCCCTTTATCATAGTTTGTTTCAATATGAATATGCATTTTCATAATTAATTTTGAATACAAACAAGTTTTGGGGTTGAAAAAACAGTGGGGAATCAGTCTACCGAATGTCCTTGATAGATGCAAATATGTTACAAAAACATTGGTGTTTAATTTGTTTAATTATTTTAAGGGACATAATTTCCAGCTTTGCTCAAAGTAATTCAGATATTTTAGTATAAAAACAAATGCTTTATCTAAAAAAAAGTGCTGCATTTTGATGTGAATAGATTCATAAAACATGAAAAACAGAAAATCTTAGCTGGCTTTTGTACAAGTTTTTTGTACAGGTGTCTGACAAAAATTAATGATTCACTAAGACAAATATGAACTGCCTTATTATATTCATTGTGTGACTACTGTATTATTTGAAAAGTAAAAAAAAAAAAACGCCCTTTATGAATCGCTTTTATGTTGCAATCATTGTTTGCAAATCAACTTAGTTAGTTGGTGTCCAGTGGAGAGAGAAATCAACAGTACTGTTGCCTCCTGAGAATCTACATCTTCAAACACTGCAATCTTTGTTTTTGAAGTGCATTTTTAAATTAGTATTATAAAAGCTCTATCATTCTGTTATAATAGCTAAAACAAATTCCTGTGAATTTTCATTTGTTGAATGAACTGTTTGTCAAATACAGAATACATATTTTTGAGTACAATTTTCTTTTCAAAATGTGGATGCAACATTTTGCTTTTTGTACATTTTTTATGTACTAGTTTTTTTATTCTTTGGACTAAATAGATTTTCTATTAGCTTCAGATCTTTATCACAGTTTGGCACCCAATTCATAGGATAATATTACAAGATAAATGATTTGCTTCATTGAGCACATACAACAATGCATATTTCCACTGAGATCAGAGACCTTTGAATGTGTATCAACAGTGATCAGTCAAGTAGAAACAGTCAAAATATTTTATCAGATTTTCTCAATTTGTGCATATTTTCATATAGAACGTCTGTTGTTCATACTCAGGGAATACTTTATACTGATGAATGAGGTGACCAAGTTTGGAATAGAATTAGTAAAGTTATTGTGCACACAATACCAATTATTAACGACGACGACAACAACAACGACAATGCCAGACAGAAATTTTTCCCTTAATATACCTTTCCCTTCCATCTTTGATGGTATGGGCAAGGTAAAAATTGTAAATGCTTATTTTACATATATATTACATTATGCCACAGAAACCATATTCAATGTGTGCAACTATATGACTAGGCTTGTGTAACCATCTCTCTATTGTAATGCATTATTATGCCCAGTCAAACAAGGTTCCTCCAAAGTCGTATGCTTAAAGAACTGTTTTGGCTCCGCATAGCGATTTGTTGATCCTTTTTTGCAGAAATTGAAATCAAGAACTTCCAATCATAAATTCAAAAGAACTATTGCTAACAGTGATCAGTACTGAAAGAAGACCAATATATATATGTACTCAAAAACTCACCTCAAAATTTTCAAAAAGTTCTGCAACAAATAAAGTAAAGCCAAGAAGTCTTGGAATGGTTTGAGGATTTCTTATGCTCTCATCTTTTTTTTCAAATTCTTGATGTAGCCTGAAATTGAATATAATCTCAACAGTGTATAAAGCAGGAAGTCATCTTTGCCAGCCAAGATTCATTTATTTGGCTGTCAGCTCACCATTATACGTTAGAAGAATGAATTGAAATGATGCAATTTTTTGTTAAATGAACACTGATTGATTAAATCAGCTCTATGGTGTGCCTCAAGTCATGTAGTTTAACTGAGGTCAAATACTACTTTTCTTATCACGATCATGCATGGTTTTGTAGGGACTGCAATAGACAGGAAGTACCACTGCTGGGTAGATATTTTTTTTTGTTCTGGCTTTTAAATCTGCAGCACATGCATGTGATGTAAGCCTGAAAGCACAACTTGATGAAAAACTTAAATGTACCACTATCCATTTTTACATTTATAAATGCATGCCTTGATATATTACTTACCTTTTCAGTAGATGCTGCCTAAACGTACCACTATCTGTCTCCACATTCATATGCCTTGATAAATAATTACACATTCTTGCACCTGTGTATCTAAAATTAACTTGTTCTACAGACTAGAAAACAAACAAATATTCAGCATTATTCACACTATAACACTCTGTGAAAGTCATAGATGGATGTGAGGGAAATGTATGATACTAACGAGTTTTATTTGCTTGCTCGAATGATGAATCACCACTCACCAGTGTATACAGAAAGCACACAAAGCCAGCATATAACTTACTTGTGTAGTAATTTACTTGGAGCTAGCCCTGCGTACAGTGCTGTGTGTACGGGACGCGTTCGG